AAAAGATAAATAGATATTATGGTTGATTTAATTATGTGAGAAAATAAGATAACATGTATTCAAAAAATATGTTTTTTTGCTCTTTATTGAAAATTCCAATAATATGTTGTATATGAAATAATCAACTTTTTTATTAGCGTATCTAATATAAATTCCTAAGGATTTTTTATTATACTATTTAACATTATTAATTAGAATTTTCTAAATTAAACAGTCTTATCTCATGTGATGTCAGGGTATCTGACGTCAACTTGAACTGTTGATGGTAGTCAAAGAATAGGTAAAGATGTGCTGGGTCATGTTAACCATATAGATCGTTTTTCTTCATTTATTTTATTACTTGTGATCGATGATCGGATTGGTGTGAATGGATAATGAATAGTCATTGATTAAAAGATACTATTTTAGACCATTCTATTATAAGAAATAAAAATTTTATTAACACATTGATTAATAATAATAAAGTAAACCAAAGAATCAATGCAAAATTCATTCACTTAAGTCGTGACATCGAGTCGTAACACCGCAAACTGTTTTTGTTCATATCACCAGAAAGAAGATGTATGAGGTTAAACCAAAATTAATTAAAAAAAAATTTTTTTTTTTTTATTTCGTCTATTAGCTAAAAGGCAACCTACAGGTGGCGAACAAATAATGAATGGCTGTAATAAAAAAATTGTATACATGTGTATAAGAAAATTGTGTATATAATCAAAAATCTGCTTTATAAAGAAAATTAAAAATCGACAATTAAAAAACATTACACACGTTCACCAGAAACCAAATAAAATAAAATAAATTGTAATATGTATAGAACGAACTGTAATTATCATCTTTGAGTAATGAGAATTTACTAAACTACATGTAATTGAACACCATTGGAAAATAATTTTGTAAAGTCACCCATCTACAGATGACCCCAGTTTTGAAAGTAGGGCATGAAGAAAATGGTGAAAAGTGAGAAACAGAGTGTACCGGTAAAGGAAGACAAACATTGAGGATAAGCGATTTATGTGAATCTTACAAATCTAGACTTTTTTTTATTAATTAGACTTTTCGCTTCAAATTGGTGCTTAACCATTCCAAACCTTCATAAAGACCATCACCACTTGTGGCACAAGTGGCTTGGATATACCAATGACGTTGTCGGAGAGAATGAAGCCCAAGTTTATCAGTAATTTCCGCAGCATTCATGGCGTTGGGCAAATCTTGTTTGTTGGCGAACACCAGAAGGAGTGCGTCACGAAGTTCATCTTCGTTAAGCATACGCTGAAGTTCTTCTCGTGCTTCTGAGATACGCTCACGATCATTTGAATCAACAACGAAAATAATACCCTGGGTATTTTGGAAGTCTTTAAATGTAGACGAAACGTTAATTATCAACATCATAACGACCGCATCAAAGAACAAAAACCACAACACCTACAATGACGCCATAATGGACGGATCTTGTCTTGACCACCAACATCCCAAACGGTGAAGGAAATGTTTTTATATTCTACAGTCTCAACGTTGAAACCTACAAGAGAGAAATTGAGAATAGTCAAATGAGTGTTTAGATAAGATGGGAAAAAAGGAAGAAGAGAAAAGAAGGAAAAAATAAATGGAAAAAAAAAAAATATATGTATATAGATATATATATTCTCGAAAATAATCTTAAACTCTTAGAAAAGTACATAATAAAATACTTTTTCAAGCCAACTCACCAATTGTAGGAATAGTTGTAACAATTTCACCTAATTTGAGTTTATACAAGATGGTTGTTTTACCAGCGGCATCCAAGCCAACCATCAGAATACGCATCTCCTTTTTTCCAAAGAGTCCTTGAAGAAGTTTAGAGATTGAAAGACCCATTTTCTGTGTGCTTTGATATGTGTTTGTTACGGTAGTGAGAGGCTAAAATTTATTCGATAAAGTGGTCAAGTCTGGGGGGAAATAATCTGACTTGAGTTCTTTTATAGAGACCGTAAGCAGTATGAAAAGAAACGGTGTGCTGTTATTAAGAAAGGGAACACAAGGCAACAAAAGAGGAGGTCAAAGATTTGGCTTGATTTTAGTGGTTAATTGATGATGGCGACGCAGATACTGCGTAGATGTTTGATGGCAAATAAATTAATGCCAGGTGGATTGTTAATCCAACGGCCGGAGTTAACGTCGGAATAAAATGACGAGGTGATTCCATCGTTCTTTGTTGCCGCATATATATTACGCATTTCATTATTTGTGGCGATGTTATGATTTGCTGGTTTTGAAACACGTTTTTGACGTTCATACGAATCACCCGAGAACCACCCTTCAACCTCCACACATTTCTTACAAGATCGGAAAATCCGAGTTCAACACGTCAATTGCTATCGCCCACGTGGCAGAGTCGAATCTTTTAGTAAACAATTGACGTTTTTTGATGTTATTCGTGAAAAATAACGCATTTGCTAAATGAAGACAATCGAGATGCGATGAATTACAAAAATTAATTGTGGACAGACGTCAACGACGAAAAACCATTTTCATATGAACCTAGGTCACGCACGAATATATGATCAAATTCCCTCTGGTGATTAATAAGATCTAATCTAAAAAAACGGTAACAAAGAATTATCTAATAAAATTCTCCGATACAAGAGAAAAAAAAAGACTGTCATTATTCATTATTTTAATTATTTTATATTTTAAGCGCCAATTATACATAATCCCGTGATTGGCTGAGACCATGGTTTTGGCGTAGATAAGAAAACAATGTTACACACAATCGTTTTCGCACCTCAAAAATGTCTCAAGCCAGAAGGAATATACCTTCTTTCACATCCGTTACCTCGAGTTTTAGATCATACATCCTCTCCTTGCCATTATTGACAACTTCCATTGTCTGCGTGGTAATTATTTTATATGTTTTGGAGGCTTTATTTCTTGGGGTGGAAATCGTTTACGACGAGATCGATCTTTTACCAGAAAAGTTCTTTGAAGGACAAGGTACGCTGATTTGTTGCGCACAAAACTTTATACTAGATGTTTTTTAATAATATACTACCGATCCAGTGTGGCGTCTTTTCACCTATCCTTATACGCACCTCTCTCTCGGGCATATACTTTTTAATCTCCTTACCTTCCTACCGTTAAGTACTACGATTGAGCACACCATCGGAACCATAGAATATGCCTATATCTTGGTTACCGTTTTCACGATACTTTCAGGCTCTTTTTATTTGCTGGGTTCAATAATATTCAGCTACAAAGAAGTTAGTGTCGGAGGTTTGAACCCTTGGGTATTTGGAGTTGTGGTATGGGAAAGTAGAGAGTTGGCCGGACGCGAACGAGAGTTTGTATTAATTAATACACATCTCCCCTATTCCACTCAATTAATGTTAACAACAAATTTCTTGGATCTTTGTTTTTGGTAGCCTCTTTGGTTTGTTCAGAGTTCCATCACATTTTTATCCGATCGTGTTGTTTTTATTGATGGAAATATTCTTTCCTCGCACGTGGTTTGCCAGTCACATATTCAGTTTAATTACCGGCTACTTTTGTATACATCAATTATTCGTTCTCTTCATGACCGAGAATTCTTCAAGTTCGTCACCACTGATCTGTCAATCAAATTCTTCTAGATGCATTCGGATACCTCTCGCGAATCCTTCCATCCACGAGTTTTTTCTCGAATCTTGAATCGAAATCCTTATTCTCTCATATCGTTGGCGTTCGCGGGTTTATCAAGGCTGAGGAAGGTGATAGGAGTGGATGGTGGTTGCCACTATCAAATGAGGAGTCTTTAGATGATACCATAGAATCTCCTTCACTGAGTGAAGGTCATGCTGAGACTGGAGAATCCAGTAATGCCACTAACAACACAGTGTACGTTGGGCCTTTTCGTTTTGGAAGTTATAAAGTAATAATATACTCACTTTGATTTCATTATAAAAAAAATACGCAGTCAGGTTGCGCGTTCCAATTCACCTGTTCAAACGACGCCATTGTTCGTTGTCCCCTCTTCAAATTCCTCTAGTCGATCAAATTCTCCTTCGCCGGAAACAGTACCTTTGTCCTCAGAGTCGAACTTGAATTCCGAAAATGTTGATCCTCTTACCAGTCAATAAAATTTGAAAGACTCGCAATTTAATGTTTCATGTATAATCTTTGTAAATACCCAATAAATACGCATACTATTTAACGATGTACTGCACTGCACTGCACATCCATAATATAAATCATTATCATATTAGGAAATTATTCTGTAAATCATTTCACATCACACTGATGCATTATACCGTTTTACCGATTTCATCCTGGCGAAAAATCGATCTTTCCCACAACCCCCACTAATTGTATTCGCGTAACACCCATAGTGAAATTTTGGTCATTGACATGTCTCTTTTGGGCACGAAATTGTGAAAATGCCGGAAAAAGACAAAATCTCAACGAGACTGCCACTTCACATTAACATAAATACCAACGCATTTGGTACAAAGTCAAGCTCGCTACGTAAAATATGGCACGATTCACCTTATCGTTCTCCTCTAACAAAATTTATCAAGATAAATGCGAAATTCAAGCAACAAATATTATTGGCTGTCTTGGTTCTTCTGTTTTGGATTTGTGTATATAACATGGGTCATCCCTCAAAGGTAGAAGAGATCACATACCCGGAGACAATACTTCAAGCAGACATGTTATCCAACATCTATCCTACCGAGGGTGACGGTAAAACAACCGCGATTTTATTAAATTGGTCTAGACTAGAAAATCTAAAGATCATTGTAAAGCATCTTTGCCAATATTCAATGTTCAAGGAGATTATGATATGGAATAACGATGATGCAATAAACCTTTCTGACCAGGTGGGAAAATCTTTATCTGTTATGCGACACACTCAAGATTCATGTTTATAATGAAAAGTTCAATTTTAGGAATCAATTGTGTATCTGATCGTAAAGAAAGGGATACAATTTTTATTGATGGTGAAATTCATTTTTTCTATTGCAAGGTTTTTGCTGAAACCCGTTGTCCTAAGCTCCGATATTATAACTCTCCAGGGAATATGTATTTCATTGCTAGGTATATGGCTTGCGCAATGGCCACCACGCCCTACTGTTATTTCCAGGATGACGATTGGATAATTCGACCAATGCGATCGATATATGCCAACTTTCTGCGTTTTCCGGATCTGGTTCACACCAATACGAACGCCGATGCGTATTCCTTGACAAATTGGAAATGGTGCTTTTTCGATGATTGTACGTTGTTTCGATGATCTACCATTTAAAAAAGAAACCTCGTTGAAATCTTACTCTACGACTTTTTGTAACATTCAATTTCAGCTATAGACTTGCATTCCTGTTTCTCATGGGTCGGAACCGGCGCTTTTGTGTCTAGGGAGAATGTGGTGAGATTCCTTAAGATGACTTCGGTAACGGAGATGGATCCTGTGGAATTCACATTTGGAGATATGTATTTTACGACATTCATGAATCAAGTGCCATACCAACTGGAGAACGAATTGCAGGAGTTGTCGCAAAAAAATGCTTTTAGTGCTGGAGAAGGAATGATTCGCAACAAAATTTACATGCATAAAGCTTTGCTGCATCTATATGATCATCTCTCTCGTAAAACGGGCACGTTTGAAACCAATGAGCTTTATCCCAACATTTATCAGAGAGACGTGAGATCCCCATGCGCAAACGACCGATGCTTATTTTTGACAAACAAACATCCTTTTCCTGATGTCAGAGTGTTTCGTTACAGTCCAACAGTAAACATTAGCGAGTCCGAACAAATGCACGAAAGTTATTACAGCACAGAACATTTTAACAAACATCCATATTCGCATGCTGTCGACAATAAAGCTTGGACCGCTTGGAAACCGCAAGAGGGTAAAGCAGTTATTCGTTTGATTTGATCTTGTGATGAGAATATGAACGGAAATAATATTTTCTCTCGATCTCTAGTTATTCGTAAAGATGATTACATCGGATTAGATTTATTATTTCCGATTCCTTTTCCTCTCACTTTTAAACTTGTCGTCGATCACCACAGAGATTATTTCTCGTCACTAAACATACAGATATCCTTCGATGGTGTGGATGATTGGGTAGTTATACGCTTATTTTTCCGTCGAAATTATTTCCTTAAGAGTCACACTCTGATCTTTGCTTTAACACAGATGCCGTTGATACCTTCTCCAAAGTTAACCATTCAACAACTTCGGCAAACTGGAATTGATGGGAAAAAGCGCCTCTTACTGTGCACATTTCAAATTCGAGAAACTGGCATCAGGTTTGTCAGATTAAAAAGTACAAAAGATTGGGAATTTTCATACGGTGTATACGATTTTTCTTTTTATGCAAGCATGGAAAAATCTTATCTAGAAATTAACGAAAATTCTTAAATCTTTTATTTATATTTTATTATTTTCATTGAGGATGTGTCGCGTCTTCTAAAAGTACATTAAGATTGCACAGCGAATGTTAACATAGTTGTTATAACGAGGATTTCAATGGTGTAACAAAAAGTATTTCAAGTCTTCTACTTCTTGGCTTTATATTTAATATTCTCAACCTTAATCTCAGTAAACTTCTCTTTAAGTTTATCGATTTCAGAATTAATGAATTAAGTGTGGATTGATGGGTGGTTATACAGATAAATAGGAGTTATAATAGCTAGAAAACACAATATTAGGAAGAGAGAACTGACCTGTAGCTTAGTTATAGCTAATAAAAAAAAAAATACCAAGGTTTGGCCGGAAGAATAGCGAACCGGTAGAAATCAAGGGTTTTAGGGATAGTCCAAGGGAAAGAATTGAACTGCCTCGGGAATTTAATAACTCTCACGTCAGCAATATATTAATTTCTGACATCTTTCGAATTATACCTTTATCGTTATAGCATGAACCACACGAAAATTCTTTTACCAGGAAAATATACATACCCATTTTATTTTTATCCAAGTCATCGATAAGACTTTTGTAACGACCCGTTAAAATTATTAATTACAAGATACCAAATCAAAACAAATCATCGATAAAAACTTTTCATACTAATAACCGCAACTATACAATAATATTAACATGATAATAATAAAGCGAGTCAATATTGGCAAATTTTATTAAGTTAATGTACACATATAGTAATAAGTATATATATATCTGGAATTCATCCGTGAAACCGGGTCAGGTCTGTTATTTCTGGTAACAACGAATTTATTGTTAATAGGATCGATGTAAGCAGTATGACCAGAACCGTACATTTCATCTAAATATATCTCGATCTGGTTTCTTTCACCAATTTGCGTATTAGAAATATTGGATAGTCTTTCCATTGGTCTTTTGAGCATTTTTGATGTTTTCTTGTGTTATGCTGTTATGTTCTTGGAAGTCATAGTGGATACCTGTATGAACATTGTGTAATCAGATCGGGATATCCTTTAAAACCACGACCCATGATTTTATCACAACCAGGTCCAAGGGATAATCGAGAATCCTTAATTGTTGCAAACCTTGTCTTAACAGGACTTGTTGGTTGTTATTGAGATCTGTTACTTCAATGTTTAAAAAAAAACCTTCTATTAGAAGATTTTGACAAGTATGAAAGAGCTTGTCAAGTTAATTTTTTCTTTATTATTATTAAAAATAAAAATTCTTTTTTAAAATAAAATTAATTGGTTACTTTTTTCTTTTTACAGTTTTAATAATAGCTTTAATAAAAGATCAATATTAAAACTTTTTAAAATGTTTATTAGAAAATTTAAAAATTAAGTTTCAATTGATTGTAACTCTTAGATTGATAGTTTGTATTAATTAAAAAACAAATATAAAGTATTTATTAGAAAGTACATATTAATTTTAGATTTAGATTTTATTTGTAATTGCATAAACCAATAATATAATATTAAAAATTGATTGTATAATATTGATGTATTTTATATTTATTTATTTAAAAATAAATGGTTTGTTGATGCAATTGATGCAATTATTTGATGCAATTAATTGAATCACTATTAAAACATATAAATAATTGAGTCAACAGCAAATAATTTATACTACATGTATAGTTTGGCATGTTACTATCTTCATTTATATGTGACTTAAATGTTTTACATATGGTATATATGAATAGATTAGCATTAAACCCACTTGTATAAAAGATATAATTATTTTTATGTTTTATTTTCACTAATAGTTAATAAAAAACGAAAAATAATTTACTGTATATAAAAAACAAAAAAAAACCCCCCAATTTTTTAATTTATTTAATTATTGTTTAATATATCAACAATATAATCAATAAAATAATAAATGAAAATTAAACTACAACAAGAAATGATTATTAAAAAAATTTTTAAAAAAATTTAATTAATATTGATTCAAAAAAATTTACTTATTTAATAACAATTAGTTTTGATTTGTTTTAATTGCAAAATAAAAAAATTAATGTTAATGAATATAAGAATTAGTTAAATTGAAAACGGTTTAAGAACTTAAAGTATTGAATCTATAATAAGATTATACAGTATTTATCATTATACAAAACCTATTTAAATTAACAATAGTCTTGTTGATAATAAGAATATAAATTATAAATTAAATATATTTATAAATATTAAAAAGAATTAAAAAAGAATTAATGGAAAAATAGGGATGATTACTGAAGGGATTATTAATCGAAAAATTGTTAAAGACAAATAAAAATTATATTTGTTTCATGAATATGTAGTATTTATATTAATATAATTTCGAATAAAACATATTTCTATTCTTACATATCGAATTTATTTAATAGTAAAGGAATATAATAAGGATTAATCTCGATATAATATTACGAATAGTACACTTTTGGGAATAATTACTACATATAATGTAAGTCTTTCAAATAATCATATAAAAAGACGTAAATACTAAAGTAACGGGCAAATGTCAAATGTATTTGTGGTTTCGTTTTGTAAATTCTTTAAATTTCATGCAAAATTTTAAAAGCTATGGTTTACTGTATATCTAAGTAGGAATGAAAAACTTTTAAAAATAAAAATATTTTTAGACTCCATTAAAAAAAAATTTAAACTTTATCGTGTTTTACATCTTCAATAATTCCTTGAAAATTTAATATATTTGTGGAATTAGTAAATACCAGAAATGGTAAAAAAAAATTAGAACATTATAGTAATATCACTACTTAAAATACAACTTGTGAGCAAAAGTATTTGTTTAAGTAAAAATTTTTACTTTATTTAAGGCTTAATTCTGCAAAATATTACAAATATCATGGTGTAAGTAGTGTTTTGACTATTGTGAAAGGATTTGTTTTGGGTTATATTAAAGTATGTTTAGAGTTAAGTTAAATATTTTCATGTGTCTCAAAAATTTCTAAAATATTTAATGGAAGTAAAAAATTGTGGTTATTTTAATTAAACAAGTTAGATTGCGATTAAAAAATTCATTTCGAAAATACCTAAAAAATCCGAATTATCCAAGTCAACTAAACTTGAGTCTGTGATAAGAATTTGTTTAATAAAAATTTAGAAATGTAACGAACGTTATACTATCTACAGTATATTCACCTGCATTGTCATCCGA